GGCAGACCATGAGGGCCGCGTCTTTGCCCGTCAGGGACAGGTCGTCAATCCACTGGAATACTCAGGGTTCAGCAAACGCATCATTGTGCTCGATGGCGATGATGCGGAGCAGGTCGCCTTTGCACTGACTGACGGGGATGAGTTCGACACCCTGCTTGTGATCGTAAACGGCTCACCGCTGGAACTGGCAGAAGAACACAGCCGCCGCTTCTGGTTCGATCAGGACGGGATCATCGTCAACCGCTTTGGCCTCACAGCCCTGCCCTCCGTCATTACACGCGAAGATCCATACATGCGCATAGAGGAGGTCGCTCTCGATGATGAGTAAACTCACCCGCAGCCTCAAAGCCCTGACCCTCGCCATTGGCCTCACTGCTATCGGGACATCAGCGGCACAGGCGATATGCAATAAGCGCTTCCTCAACCCGATCACGGAAGTCTGCTGGGATTGCATTTTCCCAATTTCCATTGGCGCAATCAGCCTCTTTGGCTCACGCCCGGATACCAAAAACCAGAGCCTGCCCCTCTGCCTCTGCCCCGGCATTCCCCCACGTCCCGGCCTTTCCATCGGCCTTTGGGAACCAGCCCGCCTGATTGATGTCTCAAATGAGCCGGGCTGTTTCGTAAACATGGGTTTTGATATGAACTTCGGCATCTTTGGAACCGGGCAAAGCACAAAGCGCGGCGGAGCGGGTGATCCCGGTGGCTCTTCCTGGCAGGCCCATTATTACTACTACCCCCTGATCTCATGGCTTGGCACCATCGTGGATGGTCTCTGCATGCAATCCACAACATTTGATGTGGCCTATGTCTCAGAATTTGACCCGCTCTGGCAGGACGGCGAACTCAACACGCTGATCAATCCCGAAGCCATTCTGTTTGCAAACCCAATCGCACAGGGCGCATGTGCTGCCGACTGTGTGCGCGCCTCAAGTGGCCGCATCGGTTTTAACTCTATGTTCTGGTGTGACGGCTGCAATGGCCCCATGTATCCGATTTCCGGGGAAGCAAACTCCCATGTCGGGGGCATTCAGGCATCGCGCAATGTCGCGTCCAAACTTCAGGCCCGCATGCACCGCTATCTGCTGGCCCGACAGACCGGCCATTCCAGCGCCCTGTGCCAGACGCGCTCCGCACCCATTATTCAGCGCCAGTATTACCGTCAGCAACTGACACGCCCAAGCGCCACAACATCTGGCCGCTATGCCTGCGCCCCCATGGGGTCTTCATCCCAATTCATCGACACCTTTCGGGAGCGCCCCTTTGTCGGGGAAAGCTTTGGCTGGCTGCATTGGAGGAAACGTAATTGTTGCGCTTTGTAAAATACACACACCACATTGTTACATTTGCTACATTCGTTGCTCTGCCCGCTCTGGCGCAGGATGCGGACACCCCTGTCCCGGAAAGCCTTGAGAACATCACAGAGATTGAACGCGCAGCACGCGAAGCCGGACAGGCCCTCGATCTGCCAGGTGCCCCGGATATGTCCGTTCTGGGTGATCTCGATATTCCGGAATGGAATGACCTGCTGCAAACCCTGCCGCAACTGCGTGAAGTCCTGCCTCTGTCCGGGGTGGAAGGTGCAAGCCCCGATGAACTCAGTGGCCCGTCTGAGCTCAGCGAACATGGTGTTGTGCTCGTCAGCATGTCCATGCCGGAGGAAAGCCTGCGTCAACTCTCCCGACAGGCGCGGGACTATGGGTTCTCAACTGTTATGCGCGGCCTTGTGAACAACAGTTTCCAGGACACGATGGATCGCCTCACGAGAGTCTTTGGGGATGACACAGAAGATATGCCCGGCATTTCCATCGACCCGACCGTATTCACCCGCTTTGATGTGGAAGCCGTCCCGGCCTTCATCTTTCTCGCCGAGCCTCTGGAACCCTGCGAGACCCAGGGCTGCGCCGGTGATCCCGCGCCTGAGCACGACATTCTCTATGGCAATGTCAGCTTTGAATATGCGGCTGAATGGGTGGCGAACTCGGGTGGGCCGGGAAGTGGCGCAGCACAGCGGCTGCTGACAGAGCAAGGAGATCAGCCATGAAGGGTAGCCTGACCATCCGTACTGCGATAAGCCTCCCTCTCACCGGAGCACTGCTCGTAGTTGCCTGCTATGCAATATCTCACCATCCGGCCCAAGGTCAGACCTATACACCATTAGAGCTTGCAGAGGAAGCCCTGACCGGAATTGCCCCCACGGATCTGATCACGGAAGACAACCTCGATGTGGTGGAACCTTTTGAGACCACCGCCCCGCCAGAAGCCGATATCAACAATGCCAATATCGAAAGCGAGATTGAAGATCGCCGCGTGCGGGGCGACACAGTGGAAAGCCGCGCCCTTCATGCAATGGAAGACAGTGCTGCGAACCGACCGGAGTTTCCGGATGTTGAAGACGATCCTGCCCTCATTGGTCTGACGGAAAACATCACGGACAACGCACCCCAGACGGTCGGTGATCTGTTTACATCCGATGGATCCGGCATCTGCGAAGTGGAAGACTTCGACGGCACCCCCCTGATTGACGCTTACTGCGAACGCTCTCAGGAATATCAGGAACGCACATGCTCTGAGGATCTGGAAATCACCCTGGATCGCCATGACCGCTGGCGCTGCATTCAGATCCCTGAGGTTTACCCAGAGACCTGCATTCAGCGGGCCAATGTTACATGCAACAATCCGGCCAGATGCCTGACAAGCGCCCTGAACCCAACAGCTGACGCACCGCGCGTAAGTTCAAACTATAATCCCGCCGTCACATACACCGAAGGAAGCTACCACAGATCTGTCAGCAGCAGGGTCATCGCCTTCCGCCACCTGATGTATGCAACGGATCCTTCCGCAAGCCTGGTCCTGGAAAACCCCTTCGCAATTGTCCGCCGCCAGATGAACCTCACAGCGCCGGGTGCAGGGGTCAATCTGACTGCGCTGACAATGGAAGTCACATGGGTAGAAAGCCGGGATAGCCAGAACAACAGAGGCGAATGTCAGCCAGATGTGGTCGTCAATGGCAACAGACTACAGGAAGGCGTTACGGAGGATTTCAGCGTCTTCGTAAGCCTGCCATTTACGCCATGTCAGTCATCCGGCTCCACACTGCTTGCATCAGGATCAGCAGGGGCATCGAATGCAACTGTCCGCAGTCAAACCTGGGATGTTTTGCGCTTTCTCGAACAAGGGCAGCTGACCGTAAACATCGCATCTCACGGCCTCGGATATCACGGCGTTATCGTAAGGTTCCGCGCCGAAGGTGGCTGCTGCGTCAATCCTCAGGTCTCTTATGAGGAGCTGTCATGCGGTTGATTAATCTCAATTCCCTCAGATTCCAGACCCTTGCAAAATGCACAGCATTCGCAATCTGCATCGCATTCTCAACACAAGCCCGCGCCAATGAATGTACGCAGGTCTCCATCACCTGCATCGACACAGACCCGGTTATTGTGAACGGCGTCACAATTGAAGGCGTATGCAAGGAACGCGCGGTATTCTCTGACTGCGCAACCACAAACCCCATCGACAGCTGCACACAGTTTGAGAGTGAGGCCAGCTGCACAAAACGCTCTGATCGCTGCATTCAGGAAGAAGGCAACACCTGTGTTGAGCGACATCAGGAATGGGATTGCGTCAATGCGGATCCCGAGTTTCCGCCCGCAGAACTCCTGCGCCGTGTCGCGCGCAATGTTGAGGAAGAACTGATCGGCGATTGCGCCCCGCTCAATGACGATGAGAACTGCTCCCGTATCTCCTCAGACTGCACCCAACCCGCAGAAACACGGGACATCAATCACATTCCGATAGCCCGTGAGTGCTGGGGCTGGGAGCGGGTCTTCCATTGCAAAATCGGCGAAGCTGTTGATACTTGTCTTGACTATGCGACGGACCCGTCCTGCCAGGAAATCCGCGCCGAATGTCTTGCTGAGGTCGGAGGCGTCTGCTCTCACTATGACGTAACCTTTGAGTGCGGAGATCCCGGCGGGACATCCCCCGAACAATGTGAGGGCCAGACCGTCTGCATTGGCGGCGTCTGCTCTGATTATCCGGAACCCGAAACCTCTGATGACTTCCTTGATGCTCAGGCATGGCTGCAATTCCTGCATAACGCGTCACAGGATACCGATGATGAATATGGCACCACCATATTCTCAGGCGATGCAGTCTACTGCCGCAAAAAAGGCTTTGGCTTTAAGAACTGCTGCTCTGGTTCAGGCTGGGGCCTCAGTCTCGCCTTATCTCAGTGTCGGGAAAACGAACAGATCCTCAAAGATGCGCGCGAAGCCCGCCGCACGGTCTATATCGGCACGATCTGCGTAGAGAAGATCTTCGGTTACTGCATTTCTTCGCGCCGCATGTATTGCCAGTTCAACTCCCTCTTTGCCCGCGTGACACAGGAACAGGTCCGTGAACAGCTGGATCGCGACTTCGGCACATATCACGTTCCAAACTGTAATGGCCTCAGCATCTACACGCTGGAAAACGTCGATATGGAAGCACTCGATTTTACCGAGGCCTTCCCAGATCTCGCGGATGACACTGAGAATGTTGACCCCACCCCCTATGAAGAACGACTGCTGGAAAGGTTACTGCCATGATCTCTAAACGTAAGTTTCTGATCACAGGGACATCCGCTCTGCTCATGCCAACTCTTGCGCAGGCGCAATACTATGTTCCGACACGCCCGGACGTTGGCATTATCTTTATTGGTGCCGGATGGTGTGGCATCTGCCATCGCGTAGCCCCCCTTCTCGACCGTCTGGCACAAAACAGCGACATTCCCGTGCTGGCGATTTCCACCGACAATAAGGTGATCCCGCCCTTCACAGATTATCGCTATGAGCCGGAACATCCCCTGGTACAGGCCACACCCCGCGTTCCACGCACAGCCCTCTACAATGCAAGCACCGATGAGGTCACAGGCGTCATTGAAGGATTCCGGGGCGCGGGCCAATACACACGCAGCCTTCAACGCCTCATCCGCCTTGCGATGCGGGGGGAGACGGTCAATGGATAACATCTCCACACTCAAAGCCTCCCTGCTGGCGGCAACCTGCCTCATAGCTCTGGCCCTGCCCGCCAAAGCCGAACGTGTTTCTGACAACTGGTGCAATGACGGCATTCAGGACAGCTGGCATTTCTACTGCGACCCGGAGCCTGAACCGGAAGAAGAACTCCTGCCGGAACCAGAAGCCGCCAGCGCGCCCCCGGCCCCTGAACCCCGCGAGGAACCAGAAGAAATCCTGACCGCCCGCGAACGGCTGGCCATCTTTTCTGAGCGCGTGGAAGAAGCAAAGGCTGAGGCCATTCTCAATCCGACCGTTGAAAACCTCGTGGCCTATATGCGCATCCAGAAAGAGATGATTGATCGGGCAGAGAACTTCCAGAAGACATGGCAGCTTGCTCTCTTTGGCACACCCGACCTCGATCACAACACGGTCTATCCTCTGACCAACCCCGGCGTCTTTGACTATCAGGACCGCCAGCGTCTGGAACGTGAGGCAAAGCTCGCAGAGATCAGCCAGAGCCATGTGATCATGTTTGTCACGGAACATCCGGACATTTGTTATACCTGCGAGACCCAGACCGGCATTGTGCGTGAACTGATTGACCAGCACGCAACAGCGGTCTTTGTGGTCAGCAAGGACGGATACCGCTACGCCGCTTTCCCGGATGCTGAGATTGACCGGGGCCAGCTTGAAAGCCTTGGCCTTGCCGACAACCCCACGCCCTTCTTTGCCATTATTGAACCCGCGACCGGTGAGGTCAGCCAGATCGGTCACGGCCTGCTGACACGGGACCAGATCTTAGATCGCGTTCTGCGCGTCATGGAACCAGAGCTTATCGAAATCGCATCCGACACCCCAGATGAGGAGCCAACAGATGAAACGCCTTAAAAACAGTGTCGCTGCCCTGTGCTTCCTGGCCATCCCGGCTTCCTCTGCCCATGCGGATATTGGATCTGACCTTGCGAGTTTCTGGGAGCGCGCCGGGGGTGGTGTGAACTATACCCGGCCACAGACCTACAATGGTCAGCGGGCAGGCTATGCCACGCTTGGTTCGCTCTATGTGCGCACAGCACAGCGCAATGCGCAGCTTGTGAACATACAGCTGCCTTCGATCCGCGCGGGTTGCGGCGGCATTGATATATTCGGCGGGGCGTTCTCGTTTATTTCCAAAGATGAGCTTGTGCAGCTGATGCGTGGCATCATGCAGAATGCGGCAGGCTTTGCTTTTGAGCTGGCGCTTAAATCCATGTCTCCTGCCGTGCAGGACATTGTGGCCGAACTGCGCGCCCTGATTGAGCGCGTCAATAATATGAACATCAATTCCTGTGAGGCCGGACAGGCGCTTGCAGCCTCGCTCTGGCCGAAGATCGACAATGCGTCACAACACATCTGCAAAACCATCGGTAATCGTCAGGGCTATTTTGCAGACTATGTTGCTGGACGTCACAGCTGCGGCACCGCTGGGGAAACCTCAAGCACGCTGGACAATCCCGGCGATGAACTTGCAGACCAGGTGCCTGTGGATGTGAACTACGCCTGGAAAGCAGCACAGCGTCACCTCCTGCTGGCGAATGATCGCAGGCTTGCAGAGTTTTTTATGACGCTGACCGGCACCATCATCACGACAGCTGCGGACAGCGATGATGAAGGTCCGGGGCACCGGGTTATTCCGCCACGTGTGGCCTCTCCTGCCATGCTGCGGGTTCTGATTGAAGGCGGGGAAGTGACGCGCCTTGTCTGTGATACTGCGGATCTTTGCCTGAACCCCTCTGAAAGCACCCTGAACTTCCCGGCTGAATCCTCCCTCTATCATCGGGTTGAAGCGCTGATTAAGGATCTGGCGGAATCCATTGATCTGGATGAAACACCGTCGCCCGAAGCCATTGCGCTGCTGGATATGTCGCCCCATCCGATCCTTAAAACCCTCGTCACCGCCAAAGCCTATAAATACCAGTTTGTGGATGATGATATTGCCCTCATGGCGCAATATGTGGCGATTGAAGTTGCCATGCAGTATCTGACCGAAGCTCTGGAAGAAATGTCCTCCGCTGCCGGTAATTCAGAAACATTCGGGGATATTGGCCGGGAGTTTCAGGGGAATATCCGGGAAACCCAGAATAACTTCAATCAACTGCGCACCCTCGCCTTTGAACGCTACAGCCAGGCCGTTGAGCAGCTGAGCAAGCTGCGCATTGCAGAAGAAGAACTGGTGGCCGTTGGCGCACAGCGTCTCGCCAATTCTCTGACGGGATCAGACTGATGGGTCAGTATGAGATATATACTACGGGCGGCGGCCTGATGCTTGGCGATGCCTTCAACTTTGTTGCCGCATTTACATCCGGTCCGGGCTATCAGGCGCTCCTCACCCTTGGCATCACCATAGGTATTCTTGGCTTTGCCTACCGCCTGATCTGGGGCGAAGGCATCAAAGAGCTATTAAGTGGTTTATCCTCATTCCCATTCTGGGGGCGCTGTTCTTTGTCTCCCGCACAACGGTTGTGGTCTTCGATCGTACACAGGCAGATCACCCGATTGCTCTGGTTGATAATGTTCCATGGGGCATTGCGGTCATTGGCAATGTAACCTCATCAATTGGTCATGACATCACCGCAATCATGGAACCCCTGCTCTCCACCCCGGAAGATCTGGGGTACCAGAAATCCGGCATGTTCTTTGGCGCAAGCCTCATGGCCCAGTCCACCCGCTGGCGTACAACCAATTCGACTTTCAGATCTACGCTGGATCATTACATGAAGCGCTGCGTTCTGGACGCTGCGAACATTGGCCTGACGGATATTGATGAGCTGACCACAAGCACGGAACTGGTGCAGATGCTGAGCGACAGTTCACCCAATGCGCTCGCCTTTTATAATGAATACACCGGGGAAACCGTTACCTGTTCTCAGGGGGTTGCAGCGCTGCTTTCTGAGCTTGATGAATACATCGACCAGGTGTTGATCGCAGAAGCAAACTCCCTCTTTGCCGATAACCAGTATCAGACCTCTCTGGAAAAGGTGAACCGTCTCACAGGCAGTATGGATGGAATGCTCGACCTTGTGACCACCTCTGCCGCCACCTCGCGCAATATGCTGGCTCAGTCTATTCTGGTGCAGGCGCTCGATGATGCAGCGCAGGGGTATATTGCAGATGCGGGCAATGCTGCGGCCATGCAGCACTATCAGACTGCACGGGCAGATCGCCAGACCGTCTCAAGCTATGCGGCATCGGCAGCACAGGCCCGTAAATGGGTACCTATGCTCAAGGTCACAATGGAGTTCGTCTATTACTGCTTCTTCCCTCTGGCGGTGTTTCTGATGCTGACGCCCATGGCCTTCACTGTGCTCAAAAGCTACGCCACGGGCTTTGTGTGGCTTGCCTCCTGGGAGCCGATCAACGCCATTCTGCATGCCATCGTTATACGTCGCTCTGCTGCTTATTACCGCGAAGCCGGAATTATGACGGATGGCGACGGCTCACTGCAATTTGCCATGTCCTTTGCAACCACCTCGGGATTCGCTCTGTTGAATCCGATATTGCGACCCTCGCAGGTTCCCTGATTGCCATGGTGCCCTTCCTTGCCTTTGCTCTGATGTATGGCGCACAGCGTCTGGCAAGCGCATCCACCGCCATGACCAATGTGGCCCAGAGTTCCGCCATTGAAACCGGGCGTGAAATGGCGACCGGCAACCACTCACTGGCAACCGTTGCCATGAACAACTACAGCGCCAACAGCCTCAACACATCTTCCTCCCTGGATACAGGGCGTCATACGGAAGTGCTGCCGGACGGCTCAAGCCGCACGGTTAATGCCAATGGCTCAACCACCTATGCCACAGGCACGGCTGGATCACAGTTCCTTATGGGGGCCACAATGACCCAGAGCCTGCGCCAGTCCGCACAGGCAAGCTATCAGGAAGCACAAACCTCCGTACAATCCGCCCGCGCCGAGGAAAGCCAATCCTATGAACGTGCGCATAATACGTACTCGGAGATGTTTGAGCGCTCTTCCATGGGCGGAAGCCTGACGGACTCAGGCGGGCAAAGCCATAGTGAGGATGTGAAGAACAGCATTGGTGACACAAGACGCAGGGTTGATCAGCTTGCAACTGATCATGAATTGACGAGCTCTTTGGCTTTGTCAGCAGCTATGGGTACCCCCCCAGACATTGCTATGAAACTCAATGGTTCAATGGATTCTGCTACCCGTGACCGTTACAACCGTGCACTGCAAACCTCTGAAGAAACGGGGCTTTCAAGAGACTTTTCTCGCGTCGAAGCCGTTCGAACAGAAAGCGGGTGGCAGACCTCTGAAGAAGCACAGCTTGGCGACAGCTGGGGGCATCGTGACCTGCTTAATGAAGCAAATTCTGCCCGTATGACACGCGCCACGGCGGAGGACAGATTGCAGCGCGCAGAGCAGACCCATTCCCGTATGGCAAGCAGTGATGCGTCTGTGAACGCAAGCTTTGGCAATATGCTTCAGCACTATGCAACCAACGTCAAAGGCATGAGCGAGTCGGAAATGTTGCGTGTTCTGAACCCGCAAACGCCTGAAGCACAGGCACAAGCCTCCCGTCTGACGGATGACTTCATCAGCGATTATGTTTCTGGAAACTCCGCAATCTTTGGCTCTGCTCAGGCCCCATCAACTGAAGGCCTGGGTGTGGTTTCTCTTGGTGCTGTTCCGACAACCTATAACAACGCCCGGACTTCCCTTGCAGAGAACCCTGTCGGGAGTAATGCCAGTGTTGTTGACGGCACTCTCAACAATGTGCGTTTGCGCCAGGAAGGCCAGGAAGAGCAAATGGGCAACCACACCATGCGCCGCGAACACCATGAGGCACTTGGGGAAGCAAGGATCGAAGGTCAGGCAGAGAGGAATAGCAACAACATCGACAATAATGATGCTGTCACAATGCTCATACAAGAAGGTGTGGACACATTCACTTCAACAACCGATGCGCTTGGGACTATGGGAAATAACCTGATCGGCTCGTTGGCTCCTGCATCTGATAATTCAGCGGTGCCCATGAACGCAACGGATCGGGACAATGTTATCCGAACCATTGCTGGCGAAGCCCTGAATGAAGGTGAACAAGGCTGGGCTGCCGTGGCCCATGTCATCCGGAACCGCGTTGAAGATAGCGGGTATGGCAGCAATGCAACTGAAGTCTCCCGCGCACCTCTACAGTTTTCGGCATGGAATAACGGCCCTGGCGGCAATGAACTTGTCCGATCAGTACAGCGCGGCAGTGAGGAATACAGGGCCATCGGTGCAGTCGTCGATCAGGTCTTTGCGGGTCAGGTTGCGGATCCCACTCAGGGCGCAACCCATTACTACTCCCCGGCTGGCATGGAACAGCTGGTGAATGACGGCCATCAGAACAATCTGACTCCAAACTGGTTCGATCAGGAAACCCAACGTCGTGGCTCAAACCCGGTCCAGATCGGCGGGCATATATTCACGGGTCGCAGTGATGCTTATACCCCCGCCCGCACAACTGGTTTTGAAAGAAGTTCAGAAACCGCACCGGGAACAACCGACATGACATGGCCGAGAGGTGGGTGATGACGGCAATAGCACCCATAACAATTAATCGTATGGTCGATGATATATATCGAATGTTCTATACCTATAAGAAGGCGTACTTCGGTCATCAAAGTCACCCTTACCTATCGGTTTATCCGGATGATAATATCCACCCTTTCGGCGTTTCGTCATGGCTTCCCAGAACATCACACCGATCTCCCGAAACACCAGACCAGTGTACTTCAGAGCCGTTAAGCAAGCCTTGCCGAAAGTCAAACCACCAACCTGCTCATCTGCCTTCGCAGCCTGTCTCGCTTCAAACGCCTTCTGTTCAGCCGCGCTGCGCGGAACCAGACTG